ACTGCTCAGAGCAGCTCTGGGGGGCAGATACTCCCAAGCCTCATTCGGTATGGAATGACGGTACCGTCACCCTCCAACTCTCCCATCTATGAGCTGTGTGACCGTGGCTATTATACAACCCCACGGAACCTCAGCTTTTTCACCTGTGAAATGGGATACTTCACAGGGTGTGACAGAGGTGGGGCAAAGTGCTCATCCCAAGGTCTGGCACGTAGTAAGAGCCGAATGGAGGTTGGCCAGTCATGGAGGGGTTACCTCAGGCCCAATGGCTGCCAGCTAGTAAGGACCTGCTTAGCAGGGACTGAATCCAGACTTCTGCCACTGTCCCCCACAAAAGGCAGCGGGGCTGGACTGTTGAGCCTCCCACCCCAAGACCACGTTTATTCCTGAGATGGAGTATCTGGTAACTAGCTCTCACTTGAGGTGGTGCCAGAGAAAGCTGGTGGGCAGCACCGGGCTTTCTGTCACTGCCAGCCCTCTCCTTTCCCTCTCAGCCCCTTCCCCTGATTCCCTCAGGACCCAGCGCCTGGAGCAGATGTGGGGTGTTTCCCTTCCATTTTGAGGAGGAGATCATAGGCTCAGCGAATCCAAGGGACCCAGGCAAGACTGAACTGGCAAAGGGCAGAGCTGAGCTGGGCTGTGGGACTCCTCTCTCCGTCTCTGAGCGCAGCACTGCTCACACCGCCCTGTCTCCAGGCCAGGGCTCGGGTGGGCGATGTGCTCCCCTTCCTCCAGGCCCTCTCGGGTCTGGCCGTCCTCCTGCAGCCTCCGCTCAGGCCCTCCCCCGTCCTGCCGGGACCACTGCAGCAGGCTCCTACTGGCGTTACTTGCTCACCCACTTTTCTGCCCTATTGTTCTAGGTTCTCTAAGGAGGGTCACTAGGGGGTTGTAGGGAGAAGCGGGCGAGCGCAGCATCCGGGAGCCACTCAGGTCCCGAGCTGCCTTCAGAAGAGCTGCTCCTGCCGCTACTCCTTGTTTCTCCCTTTGCTCCTCTGGAGCCAGAATAGGTGGCCAGTGGCCAGGTCCTGCTCTGGGCGTGGGTGTGGCCTGGCTGAGCTGGGATCCTGTCCCTAAGAACCCTGGTGGCGCCTCCCCCTGGAACATGCTACAGCCGGTCCCAGGAGGCCAGGCCCCCAGGCCAATGTCCTAGTGCACAGGCCCCAGGAACTTCCCTGGCTTCCCGCTGCTGGGACCCCTCACATCTGACCCTGGCAGGGCTGGTCGAGTACAGGAGTGTTTATGGGCATCTGTTACGGATAAGGGATCCCAGGACATGGCCACAGTATGCCGGGCTGCTCGCCCTGATGGCTCACACCTGGAGCTGGTCAGGCTGAGCTGCAGGGCGTCATTCTGGGTGCCCGGTCCCCACGCCAGACTCCTGACCCCGGAGGAAGGGCCAGCTGGCCCGTGAGTCCTCTCCTCTTGTGGTCACTTTCATGTCACCAACAGCTCCTCTCTCCTCAGCTTTATAACCACCTTCTTGGAGCCAAGGATGGGGAGAGTAAGGACCCCGTCCTCATCACCCCCAGGCTGGACCATGACCAGCAAGCTGGGTACACGGAGAGACTCACCAGGTGGAAGATGGTTGCAGGGGACACAGAAATCCCTCTGCTTTGGCCGTGTCCAGTGACAGGAGGTACAGGAAAGGGATAGACTGTTTCCCAGGGTGCTCAGATGATCACCTCAGAGGCAGGCTCCATTGCCAGGGGCCTGCCACTACCATCCTGATGGGCATTACAGACCCAGCAGGCCATGTGGGCATTGCTGAGTCCCTGGCTCTTAAACGTCCAGGCCAAATCCCAGTACCCTTGGAGCCAACCTGGGCAGCCAATGGGCCTCCCCAGAACCTGTCTGCTTTGCCATGTGCCTTACACCATGGGCTTGCTGAGGGCATTGATTTGGGCTGAGAGCTGACTGGAAGGGGTGAGCAGGGTGTCTTCTGTTGGGTGAGGGTGAGGTTGAGGAGCCACGTGGGTTGGTGGGGTAGGTGGGCCTGGATAACAAGAGCCACCATTTGTCCTGCTTTTCCTTGTACCAGCAGGGCCCCTACCATCCCTCACAACAACCCTGTGAGGTACATCCGTCACTTCCTCCATTTTTCAGATGAGAAAACTGAGACACAGATAAATTAAGGAACTGGCCCAAGGTTATGCAGTTGGAAAATTGTGGAGGCAGGATTTGAACACAGGCAATCTGACTCCACAGCCCATACTTGTCACCATCACACCTGCCAAGGGATAGGATGGCTGGGCCAACCAGCAAGCAGGGTTGTGAGGTCAGCAGAAGGAGAGGTAAGCTGGGAAGAGGGCCCCATGTCCTGGTGGGCAGTGGGACTGAAGGAGAGGGAGACAGGCCGTGAGGAGGGAAAACCACTCAGGGCTCCCTGTGAGGGGCTAAGCAGCCGTGCTCAGAGTGGTAGAGGTGACACAGTCCCGCCTTCCCCAGAGCAGAATTCCCACCTGTGGGTGTGGCACGCTGGTGTACCAAGAATGGGTTACAGGCGTGTTATGCTAGAAATCTCTGCATTCAGTCCCCCAGATGGTCCTGGCGGTCCTGGGGCACCTGCTGTTCCCTCCCCCAGCTGTAGCCTGTGATTGAAAACAGCCCTTCACTGTACGTCAGTGTGCCATGGCATCGTTTTCTCCTCGGTTGTGCTGTGCAAAGGCCGGGTTATTGTCTCACAGGAGCTCCTACAGCCTCTGAATCCTTCCAGGGGCTCAGAACAGCAGATGCTGCTTCAACAGCTGCCATTACTGCCTCTCCTCCACCAGGCACAGCCAGCTGTTCTGAAAGGGAGTGTTGGGGGCCCTGTGGCGTGGGCCTGTCTGTCAGGGCGGGGTCTCTGCCCTGGAGCCGGCTAATGAGAGCCACAGAGCTCAGGGAATCTCCTGCGAGAAGTGCATTGTACTCACTCAGCTCCCCAGCCCTTGCTCCCCTCTAGCTGCAGGGTCCTGGGCAGGTGACCTCCTGGGGCCCCAGATTCCTCATCAGGAAAGGGAGATTAATACATGCCCACCGCAGAGGGTAGTTGTGGGCATTACATAAGCACATTTGCTTATTCAGTAAGCCTTTGGAATCTGCTCTCTGCCAGGTGGTGGTTGGTGTTAGGGATGGGAAATGAATTAATACAGCACGGTGCCGCCTGCAAAGACAGGAGGGGACCCAGGGGCAGGGAAACAGACCCAGAGACAGAACCTAAAACACTGAATGGGCCTCGGCACAGAACCGGGTACAAATCGTACAACCAGCAAATACTAGCTGGACCTCCTTTTAGAACAAGTGACCTGGCTGGACGGTGGATTTCAGAAATGCTCTCTGCCTCCTTGCTTGGGCTGGTCCTCTCCCCTCCCCCCACCTTCACCCGACGCCAGACAGGACTTCCTGGAGCTCAGGGCCCTGCCACCCCCAGATGCTCAGGAGGCACCAAACTCAGGACCCCCTTTAACCAGCTGCAGGGAGCCCGAGGGCAAACATACAGCCCGTTCCAGGTCTGGGCATGAAACAGGCCTTTGTTGCAGGGCAGGAGCAGCATCAAAGCCCAGCGAGCCCAGGCAGGCCCAGGAACGCCGAGAGCCTGGGCGCTGCTGGCTTCCCACCCCTCCCACCTCCCAGCAGCCTCTGCCGCCGCGCTGGCCCGGCCCCGCCACACGGGGGCGCCCCCTCTCCACGCCCCTCTGCGCGTTCTGCTTTCATCCTTCCCACGTTTCATTCATCGGTGGGGTCGCCCACCGCTTTTGTAGTGTTTTACGGCGTCAGGGAGACCTCTCACTTGAGCTCCTCCTGGGATCCTGCATCACAAACGGAGGAGGTATTGGGATGGCACTCAGAGCTGGCAGGGGCATTCACGCAGTAAGCACTGGCTGTGTGCTAGGCTTTGAGGAGACAATGGTGGGGCCAGACTGCTCAGGGCTTTGGACAATCTTGGGGACTGGGATGGTTATCCTGAGAGCAATGGGAAGCCACTGAAAGGATTTAGGTTGGGCAAGACTGTGAAGGAAGGAGACAATACCAGGATCAAATTTATGTTTCCGAAAGATCCCTTTGGCTGCTGTATGGAAAGTGAATTAGACGGAGCCAGTCACTGTGGGGAGAGCAGCAGGAGGCTCTTGGGAAGTCCAGGGTGGTGATGGGGAGAGGGTCACACACAGGCAAAGTCCAGTGGGATTGAGCCATTGGTCCAGCCCCTCCTCACTGCCTGTACACACCTCAAGTCTTCACTTGGTAGCATCCAGACAGACCCCTCCCCTCCTGCAGGCCTGCTCCCCCACCCCAGGGTGTGCATGTCCTGAGGCTGGGTCCAGATTTGCCACATCATTGGTACACTGTGACTCTAACCACCATCACTGTGCCCACAGCCAAGGTAGAGATATCCAGGCAGGTGCCTGGTAGGACCCTGTGTCAGTCCCTCAGAAGGGAGCAGCACCTACTGTGTGTATGTCTACATGTCAGGGGAGGTGGTCTGTGGAATCACTGAAATTTGTAATCTGTTCGCTGCTGGTGGATCCAGCAATGGAATCTCAGCCCCACCAGTTGGAGGTGTCAGGGAGAGCAACCAGAGATTGGTGGGAAGACTGAAAGGGAGGGAACTTCAGAGGGGTGGACCCCAAATTTACATATAAATTCCGCTCAAATCCTTGGCTGATTGCTAAGCTATTAAACTAAGCTATTGAGTATGAAAAAGACCCCAGTCATCCTGGCAAAAAGGTGTGGCTAGAAGCTGAAAGAACTGAGCAAAGATTTCAGATATTACTCATCATAGGGGAGAGTTTGGAATTCAGGTCCAGCCAAGTTAGCTGAAAGCTAGAATGAAAATTACCCTCTGAGGAAATATAACATGATCCAGTTCTCCAAGATCATTCATAATGTCCAGCATCTAATCAGCACTCAGCAGACATGCAAACATGACCCACAGTCAATTAAAAAAGCAATCAGTTCACCCAAACCCTGAGAAGATGTAAATGTTGCAATTAGCAGACAATGATTTTAAAGCAACTATTATAAATACGTTTGAGCAGATAGGGAGTCTTAGGAGAAAAATAAATACTATGAAAAAAGAACCAAATGGAATTCAAGAGCTGAAAGTTACAGAAACTGAAATAAAATATTTACTGGATGAGCTTTTAGCAATTGGAAGTGGTAGGACACAGAAATAGTGAACTTATCCATAGACTGATAGGAATTATTCTATCTGAAAGACAACGAGAAAAATTTTAAAGAAACATGAAAGGACCTCAGAGGTCTGTGGGACAACATCAAGCAGTCTGACATGAATGGAGAGTGAGAATGGGTCAGGAAAACTTAAAAGAAATAATGACTCAAAACTTTACAAATTTAGTGAAAGGAATCAACTTAGAAATCCAAGAAGCTCATTGAATCTAATTAAGGTAAATATGAAGAAAACTAGACCTCGGCATATGATGATCAAACTGATGAAACCCAAAGTAAAGAGAGTATACTGAAAACACCCAGAGAGGAACACTTACACAGTGACGGCCGACTCCTCATCAACGATGGGGGCCGGGACTCAGTTGAGCAGTATCTTCAAAATGCTGAAAGAAAACCCCCCAAACCCTGCCCACTCAGAATTCTATTTATGGCAAAATTGTGTTCAATAATGAGACAAAACAAATACTGATGACAAAATAATGAAGATTAAAACGAAGAGAATTCCTTACTATCACATTTACACTATAAGAAATGTTAAAGCAAGTTTGTCAGGCTGAAGGGAAATGGCACCAGATGGTAACTTAGATTTATAGGAAAAAGTAAAGATCCTCAGACATGATAAATATGTGGGTAAAAGTAAAAGACTATATGTATTTTGTCTTTCCTTCTCTTAAATCCTTTAAAAGATGTATGACTGTTTAAAGCAAAAATTATGACACCATATTGAGGGTTTTATTCCATATGTAGATTAATATTCAAGACAAAAGCAGTACAAAGTATGGGGGTAAATGTAAGTGAAAGTATCTTGTGAGAGTCCTATATTTTATGTGAAGCAACTACAATATTAACTCCAAACATATTGTGGTAAATGAAAGGTACATATTACAATAGCTGGAACAACCCCTAAATATGTAAAAATTATAGCCAGAAAGCTAATAGAGGAATCAAAATAAAATATCAAAGATGTTCGATTAATTCCAAAGAAGGAAGAACAAATGATTAAGAAAACAGAAGAAATAAATAGAAAACAAATAGAAAATGGCAGACCGAAACCTCAATTTATCAATAATTACATCCAATGTAGTTTGTAGAATTATTGACAAATTTGATGAATTAAACACATTAATTAAAAGGTGAAGATTGATTGGACAAAGTTGCAGGACCCACCTATGTGCTGATGATAAGAGATGCACTTTAAATATAAAGACACAGACAGTTTGAAAGTAAAAGGATGGAGAAAGATATACTGTTGTGATGGTTAGTTTTATGTGTCAATTTGGCTAGGCTATAGTGCCCAGTTAGTCGATTTAAACAGGCATTGCTGTGACAGTATTTTGTAGATGTGGTTAAAATGTACAGTCAGATGACTTTAAGTAAAGCAGGGGAAGAAGAGATTCAGCTTCTATACCTGAGAGTTTCTAGCATCCCAGCCTGCCCTACTTTACGGATTTCAGACTTGCCAGCCCCTGCACTCACATAAGCCTATTATTTGAAATAAATCTATTAATCTCTCTCTTTATATACATAAATAGATATAGATATTGATGTAGATTTCCAGTAGGTTCTATTTCTGTTAGATTCTCATTGATACACCATTTAAACTCAACTCATAGGAAGCTGAAGTAACTACATTAATGTCAGACAAAATAGCTTCAAGGCAAGGAGTATTGCCAGGAATAAAAGGAATATTTTATAATGATAAAAGGGTAAATGCATTAAGAAAGCACACTAATTACAAATCTGTACTAACATTTAATAAGGATTAAAATAATTATTGTAATCTGTACTATAGTAATTGAGCTTTCAAATACATGAAGCAAAATAGAACAAAAGAGGAAATAGACAAATTCACAATGATAGTTGTAGAGTTTATCATCCATTTTTCAGTAATTGATAAAGTAGTTGGACAAGAATTCAGTTGGAATGTAAAAGATCCGAGTGACACTATTGATTCCCTCAGTTGAATTGACATTTATAGAGTACTACACATGACAACTGCTGGATACACACTTTTTTCCTCCAAGTGTACATTCACAAAGATAGGTCATATGCTAGACAAAATAACAGCTCAATAAATTTCTGAGGATTGAAATATTATAGAGTATGTTTCTGATCAATACCGTATTTAGAAATTTTCCAAATGTTGGAAATTAAATAATACACCTTTAATCAATTCATGTGTCAAACAAAAAACTAAAAGGGAAATTCAAAAGTATTTTGAACTAAATAATGAAACTACAGTATAACAAAATCTGTGAGATAGTTAATGCAGAAGAAATACTTAGAAGAAACTAGTTTTAAATATTTATGTTGGCTAGGAAGAATGGCTTAAAATCAGTCATCAACATTTTCACCCTCAAAAGCTAGAGAGGAGAAAATTAGGCTGAAAATAAGTAGAATAATGAAGATAATACAGTAGAGAACAAATGGTAGAGAAAAACACTAAAATCAAAAGTTTTTTTTCTGGAAAATACTAGTAAAATTGATAAACCTCTAGTAAGACTGATCAAGAAAAGAGGGAATATTAGTTACCAGTATCTAGAATAATAGAGGAATATCGCCACAGATCCTACAGAACATCAAAAGGATAATAAAGGACTATTATGAATAACTTTATACCAATAAATTTGACAATCTAGAGGAAATGAACAAATTCTTTGAAAAACACAACCTATCAAAACACACATAAAGTGAAATAGAAAATCAAAATAGTCCTATACTTATTCAGTACATTTATTTAATTGATTATATAAAACTTCTCTACAAAGGAATTTCCAGGCTCAGATGATTTCACTAGTGAGTTTATCACACATTTAAGGAAGAAATAATAGCAGTACTATGCAAAATCTTTCAGAAAAGGAAATGAGGAACATCTCTCAAATTTTTTCATAAGTCCAACATAACCCTGAGAACAAAATCTAACAAAGATAAAAAAGGAAAACTATAGGTCAATATATCTCACAAACATACCTTTAACAAAGTATTCACAAATTGAATCGAACAACATATAAATTACATCTGACTCTATGAAGTTTATCCATTTCATATTTGTAAATCACTTATTTACAATAACCCACCTCATTTATAGAATAAAGGAGAAAATTCATTTGATTATCTCAATAAATGCACAAAAAAGTATTTGACAATATTCTACCCATTCATTATAAAAACTCTCAGAAAACTAGGAAAACGAGAGTTTCTCAGTCTGATAAAGAGCATTATATGAAACTTACAACTAAAATCAGCTTTATTGGCAAAAGACTGACATTTTCTCCATAGGGCCAGGATGTCTACTTTTACTACTTCTATTCAACATTTTACTATAAATGATAATTACTGTGACAGGGCAAGAAAAAGAAATAAAAGACATAAACATTAAAAGGAAGAAGGAAAACAGTATATTTTCACAGATGACATGATAGTTCATGTGGATTAAAAACCTAACTAGAACTAATAAATCAGTTTAGCAAGGTTGCAGGATACCAGGTCAAATAAACACATAATTGTATTTCTCCATACTAGCAGCAAACAATTGGAAAATGGAAAATTCCACTGAAAATAGTATAAATAACAAAATTTAGGGAAGTCTTTAACAAAAACATATGAAAGGACTGTGCACTGAAAATTACTAAACTTTGCTGAGTGAAATTAAAGAAGACCTAAACAAATGCAGAGCTATACAATATTTATTAATGGGAAGATTTAACATTGATAAGATGTAATTTTGCCAAACTAATCTGTAGATTTAATGTAAGTCCAATCATAATCATAGAAGGCTTTGCTGGTAATGTTTTATAGATGTATTCAGAAATGTATATGGAAGTTCAAAGTAGCAAAATAATCCTGAAGAAGAAAAGCAAAGCTGAAGAATTTATAGCAGATTACTTTAGGATTTACTATGAAGCTACAACAATCAAGGCGGTGTTGTATAGGTAAAAGGATAGACAATTAGGTCAATAAAACATAATAAAGAGTCTAGAAATAGACTTGCACTCACGCAGTTGATTGATTTAAGATGGAGATGTCAAAGCAATTCTATGGAGAAAAAAAGGCTTTCAGCAAATGGTGTTGAAACAACTGGACATCTTTATCCAGGAAAAAAATGAGTCTTGACTCCTGAACCTATGCCATATATCAAAATATATGCATCATAGACCTAAGTATAGGAGCTAAAACCATAAAGTCTTTTTAAGCAAGCATAAGAGAATATTTTTGAGATCTGTAGGTACGCAAAAAGTCTCAAACAGAACCCAAAAGTCAATAACCATAAAAGAAAAACATGATAAATTAGGCTTCACTAAAAATTTTTTTTAAAGCCTTTGCTGAACAAACACTTCTTTCAGCATGACAGGGTGGCAGAGGCCACATCTACCCTGCCACCTCAACTAGAAAATTGGACAAAATATATGCAAGCATGTTTTTCAACTATTAGACAACAGTCAGTACAGGGCTGTGATCCTTGAGAGAAGGGAAACAAATGAAGTGAACCTTACAAGTAGCTCAGTTTATTGCCTGGGGGCGGTTTCCAGGTCCAGAACCAGGGAGAGAAGCCAAGGAGAGCCTGGTGGTCTCAGTGAGTTGAGAAGAAAGTGGCTGGGGTTCCTGGAAGTCAAGGTGTTGACCTTGCAGGCAGAGTACCAGAAAAGGAGGCAGCTACACAGAAAGAGACAGAGCTCTGCAGGTCTGCAGATGTGTCCAGGGAGTCTTTGAATGGGGCAACTGATATACAACGTGTGAGAGGAATTGATGCAGAACTAGGGAAAGGATCACCAGAAAGGAACGGGCAGAACAATTTCTGGAGCCCATACAGAACTTAGACCTTTTGCTCCCTCCAGCCAGAGTGGAGAGGCCTTGTAATGCATGGGTCACTGGGAAGAATGCTCAGAAGGATATTATTGCCTTAGGAGTGATGCTCAAGTAATGCTGGGCTAAGGGCTGCTGCGGACCTTAATGAAACTTAAATACAAGGCTTGAGGCTCCAACTGATCACAAGTCCTTTAACTGTGTGCCAGAATAAAGCTCAACACTACCTAAAGGAATACAACAAAGTCCAGTACCCAACACATAAAATTTACAATGATGGAAACAGGAAAGATGAAAGCAGAAATCAATGAAACAAAAAGAGGGAAAAATCCAGGAAACCCAAAACCTATTCTTTGGAAAGTATTTTTTCATTGAGGTACATACAATAAAATGTATAAATCTTAGAGTGCAGCTCAATGAATTTTGACATGTGTAGACACTCATGTAATCATCATCGAGACCAGGATATCGAACATTCTCACTAATCTTTTTCCCCCTTCAACTATTTCACCCCTTCACCATCCCCCTTCTCTATGGCGATCGTCAGTTCATTCTCTGTGTCTGTGAGTCTATTTCTGTTTTGTTTGTTTAATTCCACATATAAGTGAAATCATATGGTATTTGTCTTTTTCTTTCTGACTTATTTCACTTAGTATAATACCCTCTAGATCCATCCATGTTGTTGCAAATGGCAAGATTTCATTATTTTTTATAGCTGAGTAATATTTCATTGTACGTACGTACCACATCTTTATCCATTCACCTATTGATGGACATTAAGTTGCTCCCATATTTTGGCTATTGTAAATAATACTGCAATAAACATAGGGGTGCTTATATATTTAAGAATTAGTGTTTTTGTTTTCTTTGGGTAAATTCCCAGAATTGGAATTGCTAAGTTGTAAGGCATTTTCTAGATTTAGTTTTTTAAAGAACTCTGCAAATTGCCTTAGGGAAATGTTTTGATTGTCTCCTATTCACCCAGCTGGTGAGATAGGGATTCTTGCCCTAGAGTTAGGGGGATGGTGGAACATGCAATACTTCATACCAGAGAGATGTCATTGACCGGAGTTTACTAGTCACATATACTCACAGAAGGGAGAGGAGGACACTGCATGCCACACTGGGCCACATGGGCATTACACTTGGGAACAAAGTGAATAACCAGGGAATGTTGGGAGACAGTCTTTGTAGTACCCATAGTTCCTAGGATACCATTGGTATGTTTGAATAATTCCATAGGCTGACCCCTGCTATTCAGGGTTAAGCGAGAACTGCACCTGCTCCTTTTGATAAAGTGGGTTGTTTGGACCTTATGCACAGGAGCAGAGTTGGGAGGGGAACTTGGGGTTAGGCCAGATGAGGCCCTCCCCATCTCACTAGATGTGAAGGCAGCATATAATACTGGACTTTCATTTTAGGCCTTCCACCACAGAAAGATGGATACAATTGACAAAACTATAGCCTGACTGATCAGAAAAAAAGAACACAAGTGACCAATATCAGGAAAGAAAGAGAGGATGTTGCTGCAGGCCTTACAGACATTAAAAGAATTAAAAGTATTAAAAGAAATACCTAAGGGACTATTACAAACAACTGTATACTTATAAATCCAGCAACTTTGAAGCACAAACACAAACTACAAAGGTAACACAATAAGAAATAAATAAAAGTTGAATATCCCTGTATCTATTAGATAAATTAAATTCATAGTTTTAAAACACCTTCTTTAGAAAACTCCAGGACTAGATGGCTTCAGTAATGAATTCTACCCATTGGTGTGTTGGTAAAATGTTTTACATCTAAGTCTCCAGAGGAAAAAATAAAATCCTTGGTTAGTAGCATTTGCCAATTTCCAAGGTGTAAATATTCTTACCATGGTCAATTTCAGGTTACCAATGGGGTCGCTGATGCTGGAGCTGAGAGGAGGTGTGCAGTAGAACACTGTACAGAGAAAATCACCATGAATATCCTTAAAAGCACTGATATTAATAAAATGTAGCAACAATATATAGGAAGTGATGAATACTCAGTATTTATTGCTTTTATTTTTAATATAATTTATTTATTTACTTTTTAATAATGGCTGTGTTCAACCACTGTTTTACAAAATTCCTGAAAATTTGACAATAGGCTCTCATGGGCCAGTACAAGTTGGTTCTGAGATACCAATGATTGTACTAAACATTTAAGGAAAAAATAACATCAATTTTACAAAAATGGTTGTAGAAAATAGAAGAGGAGGGAACATTTCCAAAGTTAGTTTAGGAAGCCAGCATTACTTGGATTCCAAAACCAAACAAATACATTATAAGGAAAAAAAAAAGCCCAAACTATAAACCACCATCCCTCAAGAACATACAGAAATAATTCACAAAAGTGTAGCAAAGAAAACTCAGCAATATATAAAAAGGATAATAAATCAGGATCAAATGGCCTTTTTCCCAGCAATTCAACGTTGTTTTAATATTCAAAAGTCAATCTATACTTTAGCATACGTGGGAGGCAGAATATCTGTGTCCTAATCACAGAACCTATGAATATGCTGTTTTACATACTAAAAGAGAATTTGCAGATGTGATTAAGTTAAGGAATTTGAAATAGGGCGATTATTCTGAATTCTGTGGCTGGGCCTGATGATGTAATCACAATGTTTCTTATACATGAAAGAGGGAAGCAGGAGAATCAGTGTCAGAGGAAGTGGGATGGTGGAAGCAGAGATCAGAGTGATGAAATTGCTGGCTTTGAAGATGGAGAGGGGCCATGAGCCATGGAATGCAGACAGCCTCCAGAATCTAGAGAGCACAAGGAACTGGATTCTCTTCTAAAGCTTCCAGAAAGCCCTACCAACATCTTGACATTAGCCCAGTGAGACCCATTTCGGTGATAAGATAGTAAATGTGCATTGTTTTAAAGCATTTAGTTTGTTATAGCACCAATAGGAAATGAAGTAGGTAACCAACACATCATTCAAACAGCCTTAAAAGAAAAAACATATGAGCATGTCAATTGATGCAAAGGAAATTTTTGACAAAATTCAACACAGATTCGCAAGAAAATCTCAGCAAACTAGGAATAGAAGAGAACTTAACCTATAATAAACTTACAACTAACATTATGCTTAGTGGTGAAAGACAACGCTTTCCCTCTCGGATCAGGAACAAGGCAGGGAAATATGTTATAATTATTTGCCCCTGGTTTTATTGAGATATAACTGACATATAACATTGGACTAGTTTAAGTTGTACAACATAATGATTTGACAAATGTGCATATTGTGAAATGTTTACCGCAATAAGTTTAGTGAACATTCATCATCTCATAGTTATAATTTTTTTTCTTGTGATGAGAGCTTTTAAGATCTACTCTACTAGCAATTTTCAAATATACAATATGGATTGTTAATTATAGTTACCATGCTGTACATTATATCTCTAGAATCTGTACATTATATCTCTAGAATATATCCATATTTATTATAACTGCAAATTTGTGCCTTTTGACCACTTTCACCTATTTCCCCTACCCCAACCCCCTGTTAAAACTATTACTATTCAACAGTGTACTGGAGGTCCTGGCCAATGCAATAGTTCAAGAAAAAGAAATATAAGGTATGTTGTTTGAATGGAAGATTCAAAATTGTCTTTATTTATAATCAACATGATTATTTACCTAGAAAATCTTAAGGAATCCATAAAAAAGCTAGGGTACTAGAACTAATCAGTGAATTTAGTGAGGTTTCAGGGTACAAGTTCAATATACAAAAGTTAATTGTATTTCTATGTAATAGAAACTAATCACTGGAACTTATATTAAAAATAACATTTATAATAACACAAAAACATGAAATACTTAGGAATAAATAGCCAAATTTATACAGTATACTGAAAATTACAAAATACTGCTGGGAGAAATTAAAGATGATCTAAATAAATAGAGAGACATGCCATGTTCCTGGGCCAGAAGACTTGATCTTGTTAAGATGTCAATTCACTCCAAAATAGATCTATAGATTTAATGTACTCCCAGACAAAATTCCAGCAGGTTTTTTGAGAAATTGATAAGCTAATATAGAAATGCAAGCGATTACAATAGTTGAAAGAAATTAAGAAAAAAAGGAACAAGGTTGGAGAAATTACTATGATTTCAAAACTTACAATAAAATTACGGTAATTAAGACAGTACACTATGGTAGAGAATAGATATTTAGACTAGTGGAACAGAATAAAGAGTCCAGAAATAGACTTACATTTATATGGTTAATCGATTTTCATAACGGTGCCAAGGTAATTCAATGGGAGAAATGATCATCTTTTCAACAAATGGTGCTGGGACAATTGGATATCTAAAAAGAAAAAAAATATCTTTCTCTTGTACCATAAACAACAATTAACTCGAAGTGGTGGGTCAAAAACCTAAAATCTTTGTGACCTTGGATTAGCCAAGATTTCTTAGATAGGACACAGAAAGCACAATCCCTACAAGAAAAAGAAAAAGCAATACACGGGACTTCATCAAAATGAAAACTTTTTGTTTTTTACAAGATAGTTAAAAAAATGAAAAGGCAAGCCACAGTGGGGTAGAAAATATTTGCAAAATACAATCTAATAAAGGACTTGGATCCAGAATATTTTTTAAAAAACAACAAAAACTCTTCCCACTCAATAAGCAGACAAACAACCTGATTAAAAACTGGGCAAAAGGCTTGGAGAGACATTTTACCAACAAACATAAATGGATGGAAAATAAGCACATGAAAGAAGCTCAACATTAGTCACTACAAAAATACAAATTAAAATCACATGGAAAGACAACTATACAGCTAGTTGAATGGCTAAAATTTAACAAGACTGACTGATTGTACATGTTGACAGGATGAGGAGCAACTGGAGGCCCGTGAGATGGTAGGAATGCAAAATGGCCACTTTGGAAAACAGTTTGATTCACCTATGAAGTTAAATGTATTCTTATTATATGACCCAACAAACCCACTCAAAGGTAGTTACCCTGGGGAAATAAAAATAAACGCACACAGACATTTACATAAATATTCATAGCAGCTTTACCTATATTAGCTGCAAATGCAAATACCCAAATATCCATCAAATGGTAAATTGATAAATTGTGGAATATCCATACAATGAGATACTATTCATCAAAAAGAGGAACAGCTTTTACGCAATAACATGGATGAATCTCAAAAACATTATGCTAAGTGGAAGATGCTAGACATAAAAGATTACATACTGCATGATTCTTACATGAAATTTTAGAAAAAGCAAAACTACAGTGTCAGTAAGAGGGTCAGTGATTTTCAGGAGCTAGGCATTCACTATAAAAGAGCATAAGGGAACTTTTAGGACTGAAGGAAGTGTTCTATATGATGCTTTTTGTGGTAGTTACAAAACTGTGTACATTTGTCAAAAACTCATTGAATTGTACATTTAAAATTGGTGACTCTTATATACACTATGCTTTAATAAATCTGATAAAAGGACACCATTAAGAAAATTAATAGACCAAAGATTTGGAGAAAATATTCAGAATACATACATCTAACAAAGGACTTTTCACTAGAATATACAAAGAACTTCTATGACTCAATAATAAAAAGACAAGCAACTCCATTACAAATGGGCAAAAGGCTTGAACAGATACTTTGCAAGAGAAGATGTGTGAATACAAATAAGCGCATGGAACACTGTTTGACATCATTAGTTATTGGAGTAAAGCAAATTACCAACCACTATACACTGACTGGAATGGCTACATTTTAAAAGCCTGACAACAATGAAATGTTAAATGTCGACGAGATTGTAGAGCAACTGAAATGCACAGATAATGCCAGTGGGAATGCAAAACAGTGTAAGGTCTGGGAAAAGGTCTGATGGTTACTTATAAAGTTAAACATACACCTACTCTCTGACTCAGTAATGCCACCCTTGGGGGTTTATCCAAGAGAAATTAAAACATATGCCCACAAAAACAAATGTTCATAGAAGCTTTATCCACAACAGTCACGTATTGGAAATAGTGAGAATCACTAGACGCATTCTGATAGTCATACTCTGGAATATTAGTCAACAATGTAAAAGAATGAATCTCATAGACAATATGCTGAGAGAATATTCAAGAGTATATACCCTATGATTCCTCTTATTTGATGTTCTAGATTAGGCAATAGTAATCTATAGTTAGAAATAGGATTAGTTTGGGGTGGAGGTGGGTGGTAGGATTGACTGGGAAGGAACAGGAGAGAATTTTCCAGTGAGGTGGTAATATACCATATTATATAGAGATGTGGGCTATTTGGATATAAACATTTATCAACGTTATACAGCTAATGGTTATACATTTTGATGTATGTAAATTTTCCTAAAATATAGTAATGTCAAAAAATAATAAAAATTGAGTGGGTGGAAATATGGTGAAACAAGACTGGCATGCACAGTAATTGCTGAAGTGAGGTGATGGGCACAGAGGGATTTAACTTAGACGATTATGTTTACTTGGTGTATTTTTGAAGTTTTCCATAATAAAAAGTGAAGTAAAATAAAAGGAAAGAACACTATAATTACACCTCATGGAGCTGTCGTGCATTTCTAGGGGACAGTGTTGGGGACAGCATTCTGTAGGCTGGGGAGGATATATATATATTTTTTTTGAGAGGGCATCTCTCATATTTATTGATCAAATGGTTGTTTACAACAATAAAATTCAGTATAGGGGGGGTCAATGCTCAATGTACAATCATTAATCCATCTGAAGTCTAATTCTCGTCAGTCTCCAATCTTCTGAAGCATAACGAACAAGTTCTTACACGGTGAACGAATTCTTACCTAGTGAATAAATTCTTACATGGTGAACAGTACAAGGGCAGTCATCACAGAAACTTTCGGTTTTGATCATGCATTATGAACTATAAACAATCAGGTCAAATATGAATATTCGTTTGATTTTTGTACTTGATTTATATGTGGATCCCACATTTCTCCCTTTATTATTATTATTATTTTTATTTTTAATAAAATGCTGAAGTTGTAGGTAGATGCAAGATAAAGGTAGAAAACATAGTTTAGTGCTGTAAGAGGGCAAATGTAGATGATCAGATGATCAGGTGTGTGCCTATGGACTAAGTATTAATCCAGGCTAGACAAGGGCAGCAAGACATCCACGGATGCAGAAGATTTCTGGGGAGGATATTTTGACATGAGCGCTCTCCCTCATTTCCTCACCGTGCTTCCTGCCCTCTGCTGCTTGTTCTCCAGCACCCTTCCTGCAACCTTTCTCCAGTCCCTTTCCCACCTGCCTGCTACCTTCTCTCCCCTCCCAGTCCCACTGCCCTTTGCCCACCAGTGGCTCAGAGCTGCTGCCAGAGGGCTGTGCTGACAGCAATCTGGGCTGCGGCCTTGTCTTGCAGCTGTGGCCACATAGCAAGGACCCTGTGGGGAAAACTGCTATATTTCCAGAATCTCTCACCTGGCCTTAGTGTATCTCCATATCAATAGGTGTTTCCAAAGGGTGGAGAGAAGTCCATCTCCATATCAATAGAATGATTACAAGTGGTGGTAGGGGGAAGCGAGGGCCTATCTGGACCAGAGAGGTTTGGTGGGGTCCTTTTGCAGCTGGGTCACGAGACACGGGCAAGCAGAAGTAGATGACTGCTTATGAGCAATAAACAGTTTTTTACCACTTTATTTCTCCCTTTGACTAATTTTGGCTTCAAAGGTTATTTGCCCTGGGCTGGGAACATATTCCCCACCCCCCACCCTGGAATTACAGACCCTGCTTTGGGGACAGTATGGAAGCACTGCTGCCTGAAGTTCTCCTTCTCTCCCCCGCACCCCCCACCAGCTCTGCCACCTCCTGTCTGTCTGGGAGCAGGCAGGCTGGTCTTGTGGCTTTGCCGTCTAAGTGCCAGCCCTCCATAACAAGAGGGACTTGCCCTCACTTGTCTCGTCTACCTGGCCTCCCTGAAAACTGTCCGGCTACTTGGATAGTTGAGGGACACTTAAGCCGGGTTCCCGGCCCTGCACCCCGGCCCACCTCCTCTCTGGAGCTGCCCTGCCCTACTCCGTCCCCCAGGGTCACTGCCTCAGAGTCACTGTCAGCACAGCAGCCCCTTGTACTCTGGTTTGTTTTTGCCAAGAACCAGCTGAGCCCAGGAGACCTTGGGCTCTGGGGCAGGACCCATGAGATGCCTCTGGTCTGCTTTTTCTTTTTTGCTCTGTTTTAACCATCCATTAACTCAACACATATTTATTGAGCACCCACTGTGTGAGAGCGCTGTGTTAGACACTAATGGCTGTAGACAGGGCCTTGTGGTGAAAGTGGAGGGACAGATAATTGCAATGCAGTGTGACCAGGACACCCACTGGGGACCTTGGAGGAGCTGGGAGGCACAGGGAGGGGTTGCTCAGCCTGGACTGGGGTTCAAGAAGCAATTCTTGGAGGACATGCCAACTAAGCTAAGACCCAACGTGGGCAGAGAGGCAAGGGAAGAGCCTGTGAAACAGCCCCGGGGGAGCGCTCATTGGCAGGGCCTTGTAGGAACTGCAGAAAGTTCAGGCTTTGCGTGCCAGGGGGGTGGGCCTGGCCGGATGAGGCCTGGAGAGCCCAGCAGCCTCGCTGCCCAAGCTGCCGGCCCTGCCTCCCTGTGAAGCCCTCCCCCAGGGCAGCCCTCAGGCTGGGCAGGGGCTCAGGCTGTGCCCTCTGCCTCTGTGGGGTACAGCAGCCTTCTCTGCCCCCTCTGCCTGCCAGGGAGTGCTCTGACACTGGGTCTGGGTCTGGTTCGTTTCTGGTTCTGAGCTCAACTATGCCCACAGGCGAGGCCACACCCAGGGAGTCAGGCCTTGCCAGAGCCAGGCAAACAGACTCTGACCTCCTCCTGGGCAGGGGCCTCTCCGTCCCCATCCCCAAGCCAGGTGGGGGCAGGGTCAGCCATTGGGGTGGTGAGACAGGCTGTGCATGAACTTCCCAAGAGCAGAGACTGCAAAAACATAGACACGGAAGGAGTTTTTAGAGACATCACAAAGATAGTTGTTAGACTCTAAAATCAGTTCATATGCTTGGCTCAGACAGAAAATATTAACAGTATACTTTAAGGGAATAGAAGGCGAGCTCTGGAGTCAGATTATACGGAGTTCAAAACCCAGTTCTGCTACTAATTAACCTCGTGACCTTGGGCAAGGCACTGAACCTCTGTGCCTCAGTTTCCTCCTCTGTGACACAGGGAGAATGAAAGTACCCACCATATAAGGCTATGGGAGGACTGGGTGAGATCATCGATGTTAAGGGCTTACTTAGCATGGTATGTGCTACATGGTGTTAATAAATAATGATAAT